TTTATAGCACAAATGCTGACTCTGCATTTCCTTCCCTTCAAACTTCAATCAGAATTAATCTGACTTCAAGAACCAGATCTCTTGCTTATGGAAACAAGGACACTACCTCATTCTGCCAAATAGTAAAACTGAATTCAAGCCGGAATTATTATCCAAGAGTCTTTGCAGGCTGCAATGCATCACATTCCAGCCACTCAAGTTGTTTAGGAGAAGAGCACTGACATCTTATGTATCACACAAACTACAGGGCAAAGTCCTTTAGAGACAGAAAACAGGAGGCTTGGGAGCAGTCTCAATACAGCAGCTGAACCCAAGGAATTGCTAAACAGTTGTCTTAACAACATGTGAAAACATTAACAAGGTGTCATATATACATGTCAGAGATGATACTAACACACAGTGCAAGTGATTTTCAAGATGCCCTTTGGAAAAAAAATAGAATTTCATGGCTGAATGCTATGGTAGTTGTTGTTTACAAGGGCTTTAATCTTCTCTGCCAAAGAGTGCAGGTGCCTCATCTAACAACAAATCTCATTATTCCATAGCATTGAAAGTGAAGTCAAACTGCATTAATTTTACACTATAGATGCACCCATAATCATGAAGTTACACTGCAACTTCACTCCCATTTACTTGGGAGCAAGGCACAATGAATCCAATAGGACTAACTGACTTCCAAGTAAAGGTATGTGTATAGGGCTGTGCTTTCAAGATTTGAGCCTTGTGATCAACTCAGCACCCAGAGCCAAAAGATAAATATTTCCTTTGTTGATTTCTACCTGCTTTGGCCCACAATAAAGCATACACCTGACTGCACAGGGTTTGGCTTTGACACTGACATTTGACATTGATCTGTGGTGGCAGGCCAAAGCCAAGTCGCATGTGTGCCAGCATACACAGACAGCTGGCTCACCAGGAGTTGAAAGGGCATGGAGTCTGTACAGCCTATAATTTCTCTTGTAAAATAAAAAAAAATCCAAGCCAAATCTTCATTGGGAACAAAGCTTCAAGGTTTTCCCCTATAATGAGCTGCAATAATACCTTCTAATGATGTGTTAGAATGGTATTTATTAGGTCAGAAGCAAATTGAGAGTACAATTGTAATGTATTTAAAAACACAAACAAAGTTAAAAACTTGGCATTATACTACATATCCTTTGACCAGTAGCTCGCCACTTGGAGTGCCCCTGGAGTTGCTATAAAAAGATCCTCCATTGTGTATGTGGCAGGGCTCAGACTGCATTGTAATAGGTGGGCTGTGGTTTGCTCTTCTCCGCACTCGCATGTCGTGGACTCCACTTTGTGACCCCCTTTCTTAAGGTGGGCTCCGCATCTCATGGTGCCAGAGCTCAGTCTGTTCAATGCTTTCTAAGTTGTCCAGTCTTCTGTGTGCCCAGGAGGGAGTTTTTCATCTGGTCTCAGCCACTGACTGAGGTTCCAGATTTTTACCTGCCACTTTTGGACTGTCACCTGCTGAGGTGTTCCTGCGAGTATCTCTGTAGATCTTAGGATGCTGTTTCTTGATTTAATACGTTGGCTTGTGGGCTGATATCCAAACAGAGGATGGGTTGGAGATGTCAATGCCTTGGTCCTTTCATTGCTGGCTGCTACTCACCAGTGGATATCAGGTGGTGTAATACCAGCTAAACAGTATAATTTATCTGGCGGTGTTGTGCATGGACACATACTGTGATAATACAGCATGTCTCATTAAGAGCCACATCCATTGTTTTAATGTGGTGAGATGTGTTTGACACTGGGCATGCATATTCAGTTGCTGAGTAGCAAAGCACAAGGGTAGATGTCTTCACCGTGTCTGGTTGTGATCCCCAAATTGTGCCGGTCAGCTTTCATTTGATATTATTTCTAGCACCCACTTTTGCTTGATAGTCAAAAAGTGCTTCTTGTAAGTTAGAGCATGGTCCAGGGTAACTCACGGGTATTTTGGTGTGCTGCAATGCTCTAGTGCAGTGGTTCTCAACCTGGGGTCCCCAGATGTTTTTGGCCTACAATTCCCAGAAATCCTAACAGCTGGTAAACTGGCTGGGATTTCTGGGAGTTGTCGGCCAAAAACATCTGGGGACCCAAGGTTGAGAAGCACTGCTCTAGTGGGATTCCTTCCCAGATAATCCTCAGAGCTCGATGTGCTTGTCTGTTCTTAAGGTGAAAAGCACAAATCTGTGTTTTAGATGGATTAGGAATCAGCTGGTTTTCCCTGTAATAGGCAGTAAGAGCATCTAAAGCTTTGGAGAGCTTCTGTTCAACCATTTCAAAGTTCCCTGTTTGGGAGGTAATGGCACGATCATCAGTGTAGATTAAACTATGATGACAATCTTTTTGTCCCTCTTCTGGCAGTGCCTGATCATTTGTGTAAATGTTAAACATTGATGGAGCGAACATGCTTCCCTGAGGCAGGCTGTTCTTCTGTTTTCGCCATCTGTTTCTCTGGCCCTGGATTTCAACAAAAAAGCTTCTGTTTTGTAGCAGATTTCCTATGAACCAGCTGAGGTTGTAGTCCCCTGTGATATTATAATTTTTTCTCAGGAGAAGGCAATGATTTAGAGCAGGGGTCCTCAAACTAATGCCCGAGGGCCGGATACGGCCCTCCAAGGTCATTTCCCTGGCCCTCGCTGTGGAATCATACATGTTCTATTTTTCCCCCATAATTCTATGCAAAATAAGTATCTCCAGAACTTTGTAAAGATGGCACAAGTTAGTATGGTGTAAGACAATAAAGAAACACAACTAACCAACTTAATTCTATATATCTTTACTTAGAAGAAGTTAACCCCATGCTTAGTCTAAATATGATGAAGGCACCAGATCCTGTCTGATTTTGGAAGCTAAGTATGGCCACAAACAGTTAGTACTTGTATGGGAGACCACCAGTGAGTTCCAAGTGCTGTAGGATATATTTCAGAAGAAAGAACTAGCAAAACCATCTCTGAGTATTTCTTGCCCAAGAAAATCCTATTAAAATCATAGGGTTGCCATAAATTGAGGGGTGACCTGAAGGCAGACACACATATACACAAACACACAGTACTATAATCCAAGATAATAACATTAGGACAATATCCAAGGTATAAATCCACTGTCCTTCAGTCTAAAACTTGGAGGATGGCTATCAATGCCATATTTATTATAAAAGGAGTAGAAGTATATAATTATCACAGACACAATGGCACATATGAAATGGGTGCGTGCACACAGCCAACCTCTCCAGGGCTCAGTCCTTGAAACTCTATTTTGAATTTCCATCCATGGCAGTAGAGAAATAGTGATTGAAAATAAAATCAGCGAGTTACTCAGAACACATGCAGCTTATTGCTTTCCAGTATTTCCTGAATCTACCTTCCTACCCTGCATTCAGCTACTATTCCCAACTAAAATCCAAAGACGGAACTGGCAAAACCAACTCTGAGTATCCCTTGGCTAAGAAAGTTCTATGAAATTCCTGGGGCTCCCTTAGGTCAATAGGCAAGAGTCACACAGTTCTTTCAAAGGTAACACCTTTATTTCCTAAACTGAGAAGAAAACACATTTCTAGGCTGTTGCTTTACTTTCCAAAAGTAAAGCAGATTTGGGAGATCAGTTTCCATGCAGATCTCCAATAAATTGCAAAGCAACATCAGAGAAGAACACCTTAGCCTCGGGCACAAGAATATAAAATCAGCTCCCTGCTGCTTAGGATCAAGGCAAGATAAAAATAGCTTTGGTCCGTAGATAGGCATTGTAGAATTAATGCAGTTTGACACCACTTTAACTGCCGTGGTTCAATGCTGTAGAATCATAAGAGCAGTAGTTCAACAAGATCTTTAGCTATCTCTGCCACATGAGTGCTGATGCCTCATCAAACTACAAATCTTTCATAGCAATGAGAAACGAAAGTTCAAGTCGTGTCAAACTGCACTAAATCTACAATGTAGATGCAGTCCTAGATTGCATCGCTTTTTTCCAAGTATCACACTGGCCCACCAATGCTTGATCGCATCTCCCACAGATTTAAGGTGCATCTAGATCACAGAATTTATGCAGTCTGACACCACTTTAACTATCATGGCTCAATGCTTTGGAATCCTGAAAGTGGTAGTTCAGTGAGGAACCCTTTGGCAAAGAAAGCTACAAACGTTGCAAAACTACAACTTCCCTGATTCCATTGCATTGGGTGCATCTACATGGTAGAAATAATGCAGTTTGACTCCATTTTGTCAGCCGTTCCTCAATGCTATGGCTTCATGGGAGCTGCACTTTTGCAAGATCGTTGGCCTTTGCTAAAGAGTGCTGGGAACTCAATGACCTACAACTCCTATGATGCCACAGCACTGAGCCATAAAAATAAAAGTGGTGTCAAACTGCATTAATTCTGCAGTGTAGATAGATGCACCCATTGAGCCATGGCAGTTAAAGTAGTGTCAAACTACATTCATTCTACAGGGTGTCCCAAACACTGCCATACATTTTTTTTTCGTATCATGAGTGACTTGAGAAACTGCAAGTCGCTTCTGGTGTGAGAGAACTGGCCATTTGCAAGGACGTTACCCAGGGGACGCACAGATGTTTTGATGTTTTACCATCCTTGTGGAAGGCTTCTCTCATGTCCCCGCATGGGGAGCTGGAGCTGCCAAAGGGAACTCACCCACGCTCTCCCTGGATACGAACCTCCGACCTGTTGGTCTTCAGTTCTGCCGGCACAAGGGTTTAACCCATTGCACCACCGGGGTCTCCACTGCCATACATAAGGAAAATTGAAAATTGTACCTTTATTTACAAAATATTCATTACAAAATTTTACAAAACTCTTCCAACATAAGTAATGAATGAATGAATAAATAAATAATAAAATATTAACAATTTAAAATAGAATAGAAAATGCGTGTTTGTTAATTTTTCCTATGTACGGAGACTTTTGGGACATCCTGCAGATGCACCCTAGAAGAGGAAATAAAAGCAAAGGGAAGAAGTTCCGCCAAGAGACAAGCAGGGAGGAAACCTTGTACCTGAGCCTTTCTTTCTCTGCTCTTTTAAGCTGCGAATCTCTCTCCAGCACCTGGAAGATCTGCTGAGCTTCCTCCTTGCTTAGGAAACTCAGGTCCACCCCACGGGGGGCTCGATTCATGGTGGCTCAGGAAGCGTGGGAAGTCAACCTGGAGCGGCATGAGTTTCCTTGTCGTTTTCTTGCAGGACTGGAGGCTGCACTAAAGCAGGCAGCAGAGGCATAAGCCAGAGGCACAGCCCAAACCTGTGCAGGAGGCACCTGAGTGAGTGACAGCTGGCTCAACCAATTAAAGCGGGGGTGCCTGGGGCCGAAAGGTGTGGAGATGCCAATCCCTTGTTTGCAAGGGGGCAGGTCCTTACTTTTCTCTCTCTCCAGAATATATCTCTGAGGAGCTCAGCACTTGCTGCTTGTCTGTTTTGTGTGCGGAGTGGCTCAGCTCTTGGTCACACAAAAAGCAGGCCTTGCTGCATTCTCCTCAAATATTGACTTTCAAAAGTCTTTAAGGGATGGAAATGTTTGCTTTAGCCACTGCCTACTGTAATCACAAAGCAGTGAGAGATGGGATAGCAAGATATTTTAGAGGGAGTGTGAACAAAATGTAACTAGGAATTGCTATAGTAGTATCATCTTTGGAGATTAATATAAGAATATAATATATATGTTTGTTACAGTAATTAAAAGATACAAAGACAAACCTAATGTAACATTTCTGCTAAATATTATTTTTATTTTTATTTAAAGCAGTGTTTCTCAACCTTCCTAATGCCGCGACTCCTTAGTAGCAGTGGTAGTAGTAGTTTATTCGATGCTTAGACCATAGGTCTTTCACATACAGGGCAACTTAGTACAGTTCCGCATGTTGTGGTGACCCCCAACCATAACATTATTTTTGTTGCTACTTCATAACTGTCATTTTGCACTGTTTTGAATCGTAATGTAAATATCTGATATGCAGTATGTATTTTCATTCAATGGACCAAATTTGGCACACATACCCAGTACGCCCAAATTTGAATACTGGTGGGGTTGGGGGGATTGATTTTGTCATTTGGGAGTTGTAGTTGCTGGGATTTATAGTTAAGCTACAATCAAAGATAGACGCTTTTGAACTGTGGTGCTGGAGGAAAATTCTGAGAGTGCCTTGGATCGTGAGAAGATCCAGCTAGTCCATACTTCAAGAAATAAAGCCCGACTGCTCATTGGAGGGAAGGATATTAGAGGCAAAGATTAAGTACTTCGGCCACATCATGAGAAGAAAGGAAAGCTCAGAGAAGGCAATGATGCTGGAGAAAATGGAAGGAAAAAAGAAAGAGGGGGCGGCCAAGGACAAGATGAATGGATGGTATCCTTGAAGTGATTAGCTTGACTCTGAAGGAGCTGGGGGTGGTCAGGGCCGACAGGGAGCTCTGGCGTGGGCTGGTCCATGAGGTCACGAAAACTTGGAAGCGACTGAATGAATAAACAACAATACAATCGAAGAATATTCTGAACTCCACCAACGATGGAATTAAACCGAATCTGACACACAGAATATGGCCAAATTTGAACACTGGAGGAGTTTAGGGAAAGTAGACCTTGACATTTGGGAGTTGTAGTTGCTGAGATTTATAGTTCACCTACAATCAAAGAGCATTCTGAGCCAAACTTCCCACACAGAACCCCCATGACCAACAGAAAATATTGTGTTTTCTGATGGTCTTTGGTTACCCCTCTGACACCCTCTCATGATCCCCCTCCAGAGGTCCCGACACCCAGGTTGAGAAACACTGATTTAAAGTATTATTTCTTTGAATTTTTTTGCTAGTTGCTTGGAAGTTCTCATCAACTGAGTATCTACTGTATATAATCCCTGTTTTTGAAATTCTTGGTAGATGGTTACTTCCTCCATAACTGGAGGCAGGGAAGTTTGCAAATCATAATAATGCCATAATTTGACAGGTGACTTCAAGGCACATATGCGCAACCCAGTACAATGATCCAAACCAACAAGACAAGGACACAATAGAGTGATATTGCCTCATGCTGAGCGTTAGAATGGAAAATATATTCTGAGGCTCTAATCTGCTGCCTTTATCAGCCGTCATCTGAACGAAAGGATTAATAACTGGGAAGTGGTTTTTCTCTTTGGTTACAGCAATCAAATGAGTTCTTCTTCTCTTGCAAAATGGAATCCAAGGTTATCCAGCAGATTTCAATGCACTGTTGTTAAAACAGAGCCTATTTATCCATTTAGAGCAGTGTTTCTCAACCTGGAGGCCAGAACCCTGGGGGGAGGGGTGTCACAAGGGGGTTTCAGAGGGGTTGCCAAAGACCACCAGAAAACACATATTTCTGATGGTTTTAGGAACCCCATTGGCAAAGAAGATTGAAGATCTCTCTGCCTGTTCTTCTTTACCTTTTTTTGTGTTGGTAAACTACAATTCCCAGAATTCAAAACAGCCCCCTCCAACCCCACCAGTATTCAGTGTTTTCCATGTAGACAGTGTGTCAAGTTTGGTGCAGATCCACTGTGGGCTGGGTTCAGAATGCTCTTTGATTGTAGGTGAACTATGAATTCCAGCCATTACAACTCCCAAATGTCAAGGTCTATTTTCCTCAAACCATGCCAGTGTTCACATCTGGGCATATTGAGTATTTGTGCCAAGTTTGGTCGAGATCCATCATTGTTTGAGTCCACAATGTTCTCTGGAGGTAGGTGAACTACAACTCGAAAACTCAAGGTCAATGTCTACAAACCCTTCCAGTATTTTCTGTTGGTCATGGGAGTCCTGTGTGCCATGTTTGGTTCCATTCCATCATTGGTGGAGTTCATAATGCTCTTTGATTGTAGGTTAACTATAAATCCCAGCAACTACAACTCCCAAATCACAAAATCAACCCACCCCACTAGTATTCCAATTTGAGCGTATCAGGTATTTGTGCCAGATTTGGTCCAGTGAATGAAAAAACATCCTGAATGCCAGATATTTCCATTATAATTCCCAACAGTAGCAAAATTACAGCTATGAGATAGCAATGAAAATAATGTTATGGTTGGGGGTCACCAAAACATGAGGATTTGTATTAAGGTTGTATTAAGGGGTCGCGGCATTAGGAAGGTTGAGAAACACTGGTTTAGAGAGCATTTTGAATAAAAAACATTTGAGAGATTAAATGTATGACAGAGGAAAATTAAAATCCCATCCCATCATCATCATCATCATAATCATCATTATCTATGAATATTTCACCTTTCTCCCAATAATGGAATACAGGGCAGCTACTAAAAAAAAAAAAAAAGATCCAGTGTAGTATAATGGTTTGAGCAGAACACTGGGCTATGATTTGGAGATCAAGGTTCAAAATCCCAGCCACGAAACCCACGGGGTGACCCTGGGCAAGTCACACTGGCTCAGCCTCAGAAGAAGGCAATGGCAACCCTCTTCTGAACAGATCTTGGAAAGAAAACCATGTGATAGGTTCCCCCTTAGGATTGCCATGGGTTGGAAATGACTTGAAGGCACACAACAACAATAAGATTAAGAACTCTACAAAAACCAATTGCTTGCTAGGAACCTGTTCATATACTGCAGATATTTGAAGCACCACTATTATGCTTTGCAATTTCTGAAGCACCACTATTGTGCTTCACAATAAAGCTAAAAATATGCAACAGAATCCTCTCATAGAATCATAGAATCATTGAGTTGGAAGAGACCTTGTGGGCCATCCAGTCTGACCCCCTGCCAAGAAGCAGGAAAGTTGCATTCAAAGCCCCCCTGACAGATGGCCATCTAGCCTCTGTTTAAAAGCCTCCAAAGAAGGACCCTCCACCACACTCCAGGGCAGAGAGTTCCACTGCTGAACAGGTCTCACAGTCAGGAAGTTCTTCCTCATGTTCAGTTGAAATCTCCTTTCGTGTAGTTCCAAAATGGGCATTTGTTTGTGAAAGTTGGGGCCTTTCCACACAGCCCTATATCCCAGAATATCAAGGCAGAAAATCCCACAATATCTGCTTTGAACTGGGTTATCTGAGTCCACACTGCCGTATATTCCAGCTCAAAGCAGATATTGTGGGATTTTCTGCCTCGATATTCTGGGATATAGGGCTGTGTGGATGGGCCCTTGGATGACCAATGTGCTTGGTTAGTTTTTCTCAGACTCATGCAGACATAAAGGTGAGTAACAAAAGGGGGGAAGTCTAATTATATCCTATAGAAGTATAAAAATAGTCTCTCTACCTTTGAAAGTAAGGAGCCTGATGGGACGATGGGCACAAGATATAATTTCATGTTGCTAATGGCAGGTTCTGACAATTACACACATTTTAATGAATGGGCAAGTATGAGAAATGCTTCACCCACCATAGAGTCATGGCTTCGAGATGTTACGAAAAGTTTATATATGTTTTAATGTGGGATACTTTAAACCTCTTCTTTCTCAGCGAGTGTTTTCAGAGTGGCAGAGTTTCACAAAGCCTGGAAGGTGTGCTCAACAGAAGAAGGGAGAGTACAGGCAAAACTGATCCAAAAAGCTTTTTTTTTTAATCAGTAGTATTTAAAATGCCAGCAGAATCACGCAACAATTAGCCCAGAGCTACTGAAGAACTGTAGGATCATGTCTGTTCTTGTTTTAATTAATTGCTAGATGAGATAACTCTGAAGATTAGAAGGTAGTGTGCCAGACAAGTTTAATTAAACCATGCATTAAATTAAAAGGGGGGAAGTCATACTGTGACTTCAACGTAAATATAAGGTATTGCCCTCAGCTGTATATCGTCTTAGCTAAAAATAGATATTGTCAATTGCTAACCGCAGGCGATTAAAGCGGGGGGGGGGGGGGGAGAAAATCCAAGTAATGCTGGAGTATAGTAGTTAAATGCTGTATTCAAATTATGAACAAAAACATTAAAGGGATCTGAATTCTAGGAACTTAAGATTGTCTGGGGATCATTCTTGAAGGCGTGTTTGTTGGGGACGAGGGACAGGGCCTTCTCAGTTGTGACTCCTCGGCTGTGGAACTCCCTTCCTAGGGATATTATATTGGCCCCCTCCTTCCTGACTTTCTGGAAAAAAGTAAAAACCTGGCTCTTCGAACAAGCTTTTGGTAATACAGCATAATAGATAAACACGTTACTATGAAAGAGTGAACTTGGAACGGCTTATATGATGCTAATGGAAAATGAGTTTAACTGGA